AGCCTTCCAGCTTTCCTGGTTGCTGAGATGAAAGTGGGTGACAAAATGCACTCGCTTCCGAACACATACGCACACACACTCTCACACGCACACTCACACACACACAGACAGCCTCTCGACAATATGCGTTTTTGCTAGTTGTAGCTGCTATAGCGCTGCACAGCAAAAACGCACAAAAAGCAGAGTGCGCCGCGAGCAGCATAGTGTTCCATCAGTCTAGTTCAAATGCTCGCCATGCGACAAATCAACCTTCTACGATCAACCGAAAAAGTGAACTCTTTCGACGACGTTTGTTAGAGAAACTCACCTGCACTTGCGATGTCGTTCATTTGTTGCGCCGGCGCCGTACTAGCTGCGTTTCCAGCACCAGCAGCCGAAGGTACCTCTTCACCCAAACAATAGCCTTGCCCGCTGAATGGTTGCGGCTCAGATACATACGGCCCCCTTCGATACACCAAACGCTTCAATGTGAGGTTTCTAAACCTTGTTTACATAATTCAGTGTTTTCGTCAATTTTTGTGCAAGCGGTCTACTCTCACGCAGCACTTACCATTCAGGTTGTTACTTCTCCACTCATCGAAACTGTATGCAAGAGAGAGAAAGAAGAGCGAGAGGTATTAGAAGGAAGGATAATTTCTAGTTGTACTAAAAAACTGCCATACAAAATTTCCTTGTGGGAGGTGCGAGCTCCGCGGTCCAGGCACTGCAAGACGGAAACAATTAGTGCTCTCAATTTCTCACACAAGCAAGTTCACTTACTGTTTTTGCACCCATCCGACTTCTAGAATCACAGTCTTTGTCCCTTAATCCACGCAACCGCTCTATTCCACAACTTTTAATATTGATTTTTAGTTAACCCACTAGCGAATTCACAAGCTGTGCCAAGTCCTCGAAATGGTCTGTTCTTCCACACTAAATCAAAATGTGGTCTGACGTTTTTAGGATCAAGAGGGTATCCCCTATTCCTCCAATTCAAGCATTCCTTCACAGCAAAACCAGAGAGAAGTTTTCAAAACTCGCGTTTAAATGATGGAGTGGGGTTTCAGAAGCACTAGCAAAAGGCTTTTCAAAAGAACCAAGGGAAGCAAATGATCGACCGATAAGCAAATCAGATAGATATGCAATTTGTTACTGTTGTTCAAATGGCATTAATTCTTCCATTCTTTCTTCCCCTTCAAAGATTTGAGACAAAGTGAAGTCAGCAACGAGCGTCTTGTTGAAACAAGTGCTTACATGGTATTCTGGCAACTTCCGACTCAGTACTGCACCTCAGTCGACTTTTTTTCGAACCGCATTGGCACGGAATCTTGCGACTTTTGCGTTCAAAAGCATTATTTGGGGAAAAAGGGCCTGCCTGTAATCTGTTGATGGTTACATCTAATGTCACAAAAAAGCATTTTGGTGAGTTGCTGAATAAATGCATTTTTATGCAGCTTCCGTTTTAAACCTTAACAAAATGTGCTAGCAAAAAAAAGAAAGAAAATGAAGAGACAACGGCGACAATAATTAATGAAGCTATTCTGCTCCCTCTAAATTCTGTGCGTATTGTGTGCTAGGCGGTGTTATCTGGAGGAAATAGATAGCGCAGCTAGCTTCAGGGCTAATTTAAATCGAAAACCGGACAAAAAGGAACAGTACGACCGTTCTGGAAAACGGATGTCCACCAGTTGAGCTTTAAATGCCCTTACAAAAGTGGTAAACAATAGAAATACCTGTTTTTGTTTTGCTCACCGAACAATCCTTTACTAGGCTTCTCATTTTCGTCCGGCAAGCCGATGAGATCTCTGCAGTGTTTAAACTTTTTATGTAATGAGGATAATTCTACAGTTCTGAAAACCGAAAATACTGAATATTCTGCTATGCTGTGTGATCTTGAAAAAGAGAAAAGTAAAAAAAATACAAACTTGCCGCTCATCGTGCGACGTACCAGCGGTGTGTATAAGATAGCCCTGGAAAACAGCCCTTGTGAACGGCACTTCTATTTTTACTGGAAAAATTGGCAATCCATTTGACCCAAAAAGTGAGAAAAATTTAGTCAAATAAAACAAGATCTGACCCATGAATTCTAAACCTAATCTGCCCAAAGAAGCTGTTTGGGATTCAATGCTAGTGATGCTGCTGAAAT